GGAAAACGACTGCTACGAACAATGTGATACAGTCTTGTAGCTTGCCGAAAAAAGGACTACCTTGCGCTTAACCCATTTCCACTTGACACCACCCATCATCAGCAGCGAACAACACTTATTTGTCCAGACTCGAGGCTATTAGCTCGGATAAATGATTTTGAAACTACGACGAGTTGAAGGCATATTCCACGCTGATCATATAAGTGGAACTGGGCAAGTCATTGTGCCCTTCTCAGTGATGCGATTCCCCTTTCGCCTACTTGGAGTATGGGGCGCAGCAATGAGCAAAGCACTGTGGTCTGTCGAATTTCGCCCACACGTTCAGCTCGAAGTGTGCCTTCAGCCACCCCAGCAGTCAACAATCGATTGCCCGAACCTAGTCGATGAACAGTTCCATTTTCAGGCCACTATGACGTCCGAACACGTGGTGAACCTTCTTGAAAAGGAATATCACGCCATCCAGCTATTCGTCTCCAGTATGCCACACATCGACGAACTTGCTGAAACTGACATTCCAAAGCTGCTTTCACGAACTGTGTTCGCTATAATGGCTGTTAGGCATTGTTATCGGTATGTACTCCAGTTACCACATGGTAGAGTTAGTCTGACTTCAAAAACGTAAAGATGCATTCTGCGAAAAGTGGGTTGAAACACGAAATGGGTGAAGATTCACTTTCACTACGCCTTCCACTGTGCGTCCCTTCTCCTCATAGTATGAGAAAGAGGAGCACTCTAATAAGGAAAGCGCAGTGTAGTCTCCGCCCATTTCTTCGCTCATCTGATCTTTGCGGAATATGTCGTTAGGTCTTTGTCGTACAAACCTAAATCATCGGAATCATGTATAGTGTTCCGTTAATATTGACAAAGCCTCATTTCAGTATGTCTGAGGCAGAAGTGGTGTTCGAATGTGGTTCACGCATACTCTTACCAGCTTACATCTCCTTCTCGCCTTCTTCCGACCGAGTGGGCGGGCGGGCTGACGAAAGCGCCAGGTTTTTTCAAGGACGTCGGCGCTGGCGAGCCACTAGTCTTACTGTGCCTGCGCAAGCGATGCGTTTCTTCTCCGGCAAACACAGGAATCTTGGGTTCAAACTTTTGTTTGAAAAACATCTACTTGCAAGGGTGTATGCAGGATCGGTGGGAGAACCGCTTAAGTTTGCATCGCCGTCGTGCGTGCGCATGCGCAGCGCGTGCGCACGGGCTATTCGTAAAACTCAGAGAACTTCGAGCAAGAGGCTAGAATTCAAGTGCTGGATGATGAACACATTTCAATTAGTCCCTTCAATCATTCGAGCGGCCGCGAACTCGCGCTTTCTCATGCGCGATTGTCGCATCCACGCCAACGCGCGTATTTACAATTTCTTGTTACATTCATTGGAGGAAATGGTCCCGAAAACAGCTATTGTCTGTCCGGTGCCGTAACTACTAATCGCAAAACCACCAATGAGAAGTGACCAATGGTGTCATGGACCCCGCCACACGCCGCCCACACGTACAGCGTATTGGCTGCCGATTACGGGGTGAACGAAGGAATAGCTTACGACCCCGAGCGCTTGTGTTTTTCTCCCCGGTCCTTTACGGTGAAGAGGAGGGGCTATTGAAATAAAGCGCCACGATATTGGGTGTCTCCGCCCCTTCTCCGCCCAACCGTTATATATCCAGGATTCATTAGGTTCTAATGCCATATCGATAAAATTCTGGGCGATACGTTCTACTAATGTTAGAAGATAATGAGTAGAATAAAATGCAGGTTTAGCGCGTAGGTGGAGTGGCCGGCCTCTGAGAGGATGAAGGAAAGAGAGACGAGAGAGAGAAACAGTAAAAAAGAATGATCTGAAAACTCTGTTCATCTCTGGTTTTACCTCAAACTTTCCGCGTGGTTCTGACGCTTTAGCCAGATCGAAGACAGCGATTGCAAAAGCGAAGGAACATGTGACGAACCAGTTTGTGGGCTTTCACATGATGAAGAAATTCGTGGCGAATTATCGCGAGCGGGAAGTTGGAATAGTCGTAGAGGCAATGGGCCATATGGACGAGAGAGCCCAGACAGCAGCAGAAAATTGACGTGATTAAGAGAGGTTGAGTCCGAGTTGTCCGTAGATCGCTGGGACAAGCTTTTTTCAGATAATAACCTCCTGGACCTGCATAGCAAGGCTGCCGCGGATCATGTGCAGAGTAAGGTTGTCAACGCTTTGAAGGACCATTGCAGTACGGCACAACCGAACAAATTGGCCAGAATCGTTGAGCAGGTGATATCGATCGATAAATCGATTGCACGCCCATTTTATACAAAATTTTGTGATTCAGGTCTATGCATTCGATGAGTTCCATATGTTAGGCGCTGCAATGATTGAATGCTGTCTCGTTCATCATATAAGTCTACCTCCACATCTCATACGCACCACTGAGGTGAATATTTCTTGCTACCGTAAGCCAAATTACGGTGGTTTCTATTTTGTTTCCATCAAGAAATGAGCAAAGAACTGTATCACATTCTTGAGGAAATGTTAGAGATTGCCATCCGCTTATAGGTTTCTAGGAAGACGTGACGTAGCAGACACTAACAGACGCGTGCGGTCGCGTCACGGCACTGAAATTAAGTGGCGCGCATCCAGTGCAACTGCTTTCAACTGCTGCTTGCACAAGTTGTTATCCGTTGTTACAAACAAAGTCTTATAACAATACGAACTAACGTTCGGTAGGACACAAAAAGGCCAGCTCAGGAGGCGTGACGCGACCGCGCGCGTTTCTGTCTTACCAAACCCCTGAAACTCGGCTGAAAATCGATTCTGATCGATTTCAGGTCCCGAGGACACCGCTCCGGAGCGCTGACACAGTCCAACCACAACAGCCATTGCTTCATCAGAGCACATCACATTTTGCGCCTCTTACACACGCCTATTGATGGTGTCACTACCTGTCAACCGTAACTGCGAATCGATAATTGTTAGAAATCAATATGATGACATATCGATCGTGACCACAACTCTAGCGGCTACAGACCAATATTGACAAACATCAAAGCCAGTTACTTCCTAGATATATACGTAATAATTCTTTTCTAGTTATATTTCTAGATAAGACGTCAAATGCTGATTACGGTAGCCAGTAGTACTGTGCTACTGCTGAGCTAGGAGTGTGGCTATGCCTTCTGAAAGGTAACCTAATGCTGAGTGAAACCGTAGGG